GCCAAATCCTTACTTGGTAAAGTAATTCTTTACTATTAACATCATAAACCAGACATGTGTTGTGCTCATCAACCACTGCAATTTTAGTTCGGGAGGCACTCAGGTCCAAACATCTAACAGATGTCTGCTGCTTTAAGATCAGTATAGGAAATGGATTATCAGCAAATATTTTCATGATCTAGAAGAAAGCAGAGAAAAACTTACTTAAATTTACTTACGGTTAAATTTCTACCTGTATTACATATTTATAAGAATGGATCTGAGATTCTGATAAAATAAGACAGTGTACACATTAAAACAGATATCTGGAAAGTCGCTTTTGTCTGTTTACAAAAAACAGTGTAATATACATGTCACATACATACATACACACGACGGGTATCCTAAAGGTTTCTTTGCTTGAAAGCATAGAAACCAAAAAAGTGCACTGCTTTTATTAATTCAGAAGAGATGTTTATTATATTGGTCATTGTGCAATATTGCCTATGTGCACATTAAAGAACGCTGTATTTGGAATACAGTAAGAAATTGTCTCTTGGTGTACTGCCAAATCACCACCAGAAGGATCCAACTGGAAGATTTAACATAAACCAATAACACATATCCTGTATCATACATTATTTAATAGAGTATTATTTACCTGTCCATTCTTGAGTCCCACCAACAGTCCCTCTCTTCCTGCAGGACCACCTGTCACTTTGATATACCTAATAAGCGATTCCATCACCCACTCTCGTTCTTTGCCTCCCTGAAAATTGTAACTTGTCAACCGTTTTTCCTGACAGAGGATGATGTGATTGGCACAGACAACAAGCAAATTACAGTCAAATTTACGATTAATGCGTTCTTTGATACGGTAGTGCATATCTGCTGAGTCGTCTGTGTAAAGTTCATAAATAACTATTTTTTCAGGAAATTGAACCTAAATATAAAGAAGACTGGTTAAAACAGATTTGTAAAGTACTACAATAAAGATACATTTTACATAGACTGTCATTTTCGCCAACAAGGGAAAAACAAGAAGAGATATTCTGAGAAATTGTTGTGCACACAAAATTGCAGAGATAG